TTGCCTCGATCATCCTCCCACCAAAGACTGTTATTTTGTTTATAAATCTGCAAAACCATTTCCCCTAGAGGGCCTTATTAACCTTCAAGCGTGATCTCAGACCCCGCCACTGAGTTGATTTGACCTTTTGACCTCGTCACATTCCACTAGATGGTATTTCCTATTCTCCTCAGAATCTCCCAGTAAGAATCTGGCATTGTATGGATTCTAGTCTCTTGGCCATACTTTCAAAGATTGCCATTAGAGATATGTAATAGATAGGGATGTTAGCTATTGTGCTTTTTGATGAGATTAAGTCTTCCTCCATTGATAGAATGTTTCTCTCATCTAGCCAACCACTGTTCAAGATGTGCGACCACCAGATGCTAAATCGAGATTTCCTTCTACTTGGCTCCCAATGGTAACTCCAAATACTTGATCAACAATTCCACACGTTTACACCTAAGAGTACGAGCCGGATTGCTTGCATCCCTCCCATCACCTAGTCTCACTAACTTTGACAGGGCGAGATTGTTGTTGAGTCCCGATACTGTTTGGAAGCTTGATAAAATGCATATAAGTAAAGCCCTTTTGCTCGGTTTATAAGACAGCAACATGTCATCAATAAAAAATAAGTAGCTCAGCTCCTCCACACACTCACTCTATCCCACCTTCAACCTCTTAAACATCTCAAAATCTCTGGCCCTCAAGAGCATTCTTTTGAGTGACTTTGTAATGATCATGAACAGTTGGGGGCCAAAGGATCTCCTTGTCTGAGGCCTCTATTAGCTTAAAGAAAGATGATGATCCCTCATTTACCATAACAGTGACAGAGGTTGTAAAAATGCAGTTTCTGATCTAATTTTTCCATTTATCCCCATAGCTCTTTTTTTTTGAGATAAAATTTATCCCCATGGCCCGTTCGTTTTGTCATATAATCGAGGGACCCTAGTTCATATGGTAATAAACTTTCTCTATATCAAGCTTGCATAAAGCCCCCTTCAAATTCTTATGTTTTAGCTCATCTACGATCTCATTAGCAATTAAAGCTGCATCCAGAATTTGTCTGCCACCTACAAAAGCATGTTGGCACAGTCCCACCATTCTCCCCATAACCTTAGTCGGTTTCCTTGCCAGTACTTTAGCAAATGATGAAATATAAATTATGTTATCCTCACTTTCTCTTCTTTGTTTTTCTGTTATTATTGTGATCCTTCTCCTTACTATATTTGCTGCTGTTGTTGAATGCTTCTCCAGTCTTTGCGAGAACTACCAATAGATCTTAGAGAAGGCTGATGCTTTCTTAAATCTGATAACTGAAGAGGCTTCCAAAGGGAACTCTTCGCCTTCTCTTTCCAACTTTGAAGAAAGGTTTGCTCATCCACTTACTCATAAAACCACTACTCTGGACAAGACCTGATTTTCTATGAGTGGCTCCTCACTGAACTTGCAGAAACTCTTTTGTACCTTCATTTATAATAATTTTTTAAATTAATTCCTTCATTGTGTCACTCATTTCAACTAAATAGATTGTTCTGGATGATAGCATTCAGCAATTGGGTGCTAATGCTCTCTTTTAAGTTAAAAATTGGTTATAATTGTCCTTATTATCAAAGTCTTTTGTCAACTCATTGAAATTTGCTGCTTATGGAAATCTTTTCCTGGACATACACAATGTGAATTTCCCAAACTGGTTGCTGGAAAAGGTTTCTAGTCATTGTTGTAAATTTTGTTTATTTTCCGTCGATCTTTTTATGCTCTCTCTAGTTCTCTCTCTAACCAAAACATATCCCATGGGATAAGAGCACAAAGCCCAGATCTTCGTGGGATGAGTCACCAACTTCCAAAGCAAGCACAGATCTATAAGGTTCTTTCTAGCCTTTCTTAAGAAGGATTTCCTCTCTTTTTAAGGTTACATCAAAATGAAGCCAAATACCTTTCTCTCTATGCAATAGCCACTCAACACCATCAAAAGCTCTCCTACTTTTTTTCTGTCAGACCAAAATATATAGCCCAAGGGATAAGGGCAACAAGCCCCTTTGCAATTCTTGTCAGCCTCTATGCTATCCCAAGCCCAGATCTCTTGGGGAGTGAGCTACCAACTGCCCAGCCAAGCACAGATCTATTAGGTTCTTCTTCCTTAAGAAGAATTTCCTCTCTTTTGTGAAGTTACACCAAAGTGTACTTCTGTTACGTGTATCTGTTATAAATTGTAAATGGTCTTGGTTACTGAACACTGAATGCGGAATGTTTAAATCTGACTTCAAAAGAATTTTGGATTTGGATCATATGTTTGCTTAAAAACCTTTGGCTATCATCCCCTTTTGTATTTAGCTTTGAGTTTTGCTTATAGTCCCACTGGTGTGAGCTTGAACTCCCTTGGGGTAATATTACTTGTTGGGACTTATCTTCCTTCATGGTCTACATTTATTTCCTTCTTTATCAGGAGCAAACCACTTCGCTATTGATTTTGTTTTTTTAGTTTAAATTTCATTCTTCCTTCTTCCTTTCTGGCCTTTCTTTTGGTTTTGGAGGTGGGATGATTCTAGAAAATAACAATGTGTAAAGTTCTCATTAAATTTAACTCGTTCTTAGCCACTTCATTGCCTTTTGTATTCATTAAGTTCTGTTGAGATTTTCAAAATATGTGCTGTTTTTTTTCTTCTACCTGTTTTATTTTCTAAATCCTACCTTCAGAATATGACCGTTTTTCAGTTTCATGTATTGCTGCGGTAAAAATGGTGGCATCTTGGAATTTTTTGCATGAACCCAAAGCAAATGAATGATACTGGCTCTTTCCCTTTCTGATCTCATACACTTTGGGCTCAGGTTATGTTGATACCGGATCTCCAACCATTGGGTCTAGCCGGTCATGGAAGTCCATGGAAATGGAAATCCAATCTTTGCTTGAGAAGCTGCTAGATATAAATGATTCTATGAGTAGATGTGCTGCATCTGCTGCACCAACTACCTCAGTGACACAAAAGCTAGCAAGGCACAGGGACATACTACACGAGTTTACCCAGGTTTACCTTCTGTCAATTCTTTTTCCTTTTTGTCAGCTTTTTTTTTCTTTGGTTTCTTGAGGCTATATTCAAGAGAGTCAAAGGAGGTTTAAATAATTGAATGCAGTGTAACAGAATGGGATGAAGTACAATGGAATGAGATGTAAAATGTAATCTGTTTTACTTAATTTGGATAAGATAGTATAGAAATGAGAATAAGCTTCAACCAGAGTTGGAAGGAAGGAAAATGGAAAATTATTAATGTCTAGAAGACGATAACCCTTCCATCCAAAAAAGAAGTAGGTAAAGGTAGGATTTGATTATAAGGAATGAGGATAATTTATTAATCACAAAAAAATACTTTTAACCTGCATTCCCCTTTCGTCCATTCTCTCCTAGACTAGGAATTAGAATATTGAGCTTCTGTAGGGGTATGAGAATGACGTGTTCTCCCTTATTCTGTTTCATTTTCTTTACTAAATTCTCCAACAAATAAGGTTAAGCCGTCAACTTTAAATTTTTTATTTCCATCCATTCCATACCCTATGGGGTTTCATGCCTTTATTCAGATGAAATCTGGTTTGACCCAAAACTAAGCTATAATGGTGCTTCGGGATGTTTGGTTTAACTTATTTTTGGATCAAACCACCTTAAGTAAGCCATATTAGTGTTTGATTTGATGATTTTGGCTTATAAGCCAATGTCTTATGAGCTAAAAAAGTAGGGTTCAAAAATGTTTTTTTTGGAAATGTAAAGTATGAATTGTATTAATATAAGCACTAAGGGAATGCTGCTCATGTACAAAATTTAGAAGTCAATCAATGTATCAATATGTTCCAAGAGGACCATGAAACAAAAAATTAATGGTTTGGATCCATCTATTCTTAAGAATATTAAAACCATTTACATCCTCTATTCTATCAAAAACTCTTATGTTCCTCTCCTTTCACACCTCATAGAGAGAAAGAGCGGAATTATATCCACTTGTTTCTGTCGACCGCTAATGCACATCCACACTAAAATTTTTTCTCTCGCGAACCTGCCATAACCCAATTAATTTCTAGCAACTTACAAACCAAAGCCCACAACTTATAAACTTCTGGAGACCATAGCTAGAAATGCTTACAAGTCTCTTCATCCCTCTTGCAAAGGTAACAAGTATTAAACCAATATCTTTCCGCGCTTTTTCAAATTGTCAATAGTAAAAAAAAGTTCCCTATTAGCCTCCTCTCACCCAAGAGGTGAGACACTAGTCTTCCACATCTGACTTACAAGGAAACAAATGCCATCATCTTCATACCTGTACAATTTTTTGTAGAAAGATTTAATTAAGAAAGACCCGTTTGATGTGAGGTTCCACCGCGGAGTGTCAATGCTTCCATCCAACGAAATAAAGGATAACATGCTTAAAAATTTCTCATATTCTCCAACCTTTCAATCATTGAGATTCCTTGACACAAGTAGTCATTCGTTCAAACCACTACTATTCTCTATAAAGAATCACAAATCTTGATATCTTTCTGCTAGGTTGTTGCGTAAATATGAGGGAAATACTCTCTAAAGGTGCCCCTCTCCACCAATTGATCATCCCATAGTCTCACCCTATCCCCACTAACAGCTTCCGCCTGATATACTCTTGGAATTTATCCTTCCCTTAAGTGATCTTTTTCCACAAGCTTTTCTCATATGGTCTTGAATTCTCTTTGGTAAGTCATCTTTTATTGTCCATGCCATATTTTGCTTCAATTGTTTTCCTCCACAACGTGTCTTCCTCTCTTATGAATCTCCAACACTATTTTCTTTACTGAACCTCATTCATCTCAAATAAAGATCGCATTCCCAAATCACCAAATGCCTAATGGCTTCTTGAGCTCACTTCATGTCACCAAATGATACCTCTGTCTTTTATCCATGTCATCCCCATAAGAACTTGTTCTGTATAGTTTCTAGCTTTTTTGCCACGCTTTTCGGAATCATCAACATGGAAATATAGTAGATAGGAAGATTGCCCAAGGTACTCTTTACGAGCATGAGTCTTCATCCTTTAGGCAAGAGACCCCTTTTCTAGTTTGCTAACCTCTTCTCAAATCTATCCACCACCGGATCTCATGTCCTAAACTTTTTGAAACTAGTTCCAAGAGGTAAATTCTTATCTCTACAACCCAATGCACTTGTGATCCTTTTTGAATCACTAGTCGACTCCAATCTCACCAATTTTGACTTCGTAGGATTAATACGAAGCCCTAAAACAACTTGAAAGCCCATCAAAATATATCTCATGTTCAACAAAGCTCTCCTCTCTGGTTCACAAAATAGTTAGGTATCATTAGCAAATAACAATTGTGTAAGCTTTTCAACCTGATTCCTCACCCTCACTTTTAAACTATTGAATAATTCACATTCCTTGGCTCTGATAAGCATCTTGTTTAAGCCTTCCATCACCACTATAAAGTATGGGAGATAGATGGCCACCTTGTCTCCAACCTCAAGAAACTTTAAAGAAAGATGAAGGACCCCTATTAACAAGAACCGTGAAGGAAGTAGAGGTGATACAAGTCCTAACCCATCTCCTATAATTCTATCCAAAACCCATCATCCGAAGCATATAATCTACGAAATGTCAGTTCACATGATCATAGTTTTTTCTATATCTAACTTGCATAACACCCCTTCCCTCCTCCTATATATCAATTCATCATCAATCACTTTATTTGCTATTAAGGTTGTATTCAGAATTTGCCAACCTCCCACAAAAGTATCTTGACAATCACCAATTGCCTTATCAATGACCTTAGCCATCTCTCTCATAAGGAGTTTAGCAGTCAACTTATAGATGCAACCTAACAGACTAATAAGTCTAAAATTCTTGATGTTCCGAGCCCCTTTAAACTTGGCAATGAATACTGAGAAAAAAGCATGAAGGGGTTTAACAAAGGATCCAGTGTCATGCAAATTCCTAAAATAGGGCCATTATGTCATCCTTCACTACAGTCTAAAAGTCCTGAAGAAAGTCTATATTAAAACCATTTAGACCAGGAGCCTTATCTCTTGCACGACATAAAGCCATCATAGATCTCCTCTTTTGAAAAGTCTCTCTCCAACTTTGTCCTACTTTGATCATCCAGACTTTTGAATTCAACATCATCCATATTAGGTCTCCAATCCTCTTCTTCCTTGTATAGCCACAAAAGTAACTCATTGCCTCCATTCTTAGCTGCTCATTACTCTTAACAACTCAGTAACCAATCTCCATCGCATCTATGAAATTTTTTTCCTGTAATGATTGGCCATACAATGGAAGAACTTAGTATTGTGATCCCCTCCCCTAATCCATCTATCCCTCGATTTTTGTCTCTAGAAAATCTCTTCCATCTGTAATCTGACAACAACTTCAGCTTTTAATGATTCTTTTCTGGTTATGTCTTTAGTTAACAACAGTCAATCACCTTCCCATTTGTCTATACCCTCGATCTCATCCATCAATATCTTCACTTCACTCTAATATCTAATACCCTTCTCTTTACACCACTTCTTGATTTTAGCTTTAACAAACTTTAGCATCTGGAACAACCTAAAGCTTGCCGTGTCCACTGGATTTGTGGCAACCCACCGCTCTCTAATCTTATCCGAAAATTCATCCACCCTCAACCATTTGTTTTCAAATCTGAATGGACACCCATCTGATATCATCAGCCATCAAGCATATAGGGAAATGATTAGAAATAATCTTCTGAAGTCTCTTCTGACACATGTTGCCCACATACAATTAACTATTATGTTATTGAGGTCAGGATCTTGTCACTAGGTGGTTCTTTAGAATTTCTAGTTGTAGAATCTGCTTCTTTTCCTTACTACGATTCTTTGAGCGACCTATTTTGTGAACATAGATTACAACTCATCAAAAAGAGTTGTTACCTTAGACCTCGTTAGAGATATGTGTAATATTGTAGTTTAAAATAATATTTTGATTTATCTTTATTAATAGCAAACATACTCTTTTATTTACAGGTTACAATTCTTATTTAAAGATCTTAATTTAATTAAGGATATAAATCTAAGTAGAAATACTTTATTTAAATATTAAAAATTCTATACTATTTAGAAATATAATATTAATAGAAAATCATATGTTATCTACGAATGTAATGCTAAGTAAGATTCTATGTTTACTATTTAGTATTTAATACTAATTAGCATTCCATATTTAATTGAATTTCAAGCTCTTATTAGACATTATAAGTGTGTTCATAACATTTTTCCCCTCCTGGTCTTCAAATTTGTGCTCAAGATTAAAATATGGATACACCTGGCTTGTCGATCTATTTTTGTTGCTCAGGAATAGTGTCACGTTCAATCTCGAGCTAGAACAGCCATTTATATTGGTGACTTTAACAAACGGCTCATTACAGTTATAACATAACCACTTCAGCCTCTTTTTTGTTATCTCTGTCCTTGTTAGTTTATTTATAAATGAAGATGAACTGTTAGTAGATTGTGTCGTAATGTTACTGTTCCGTGGAGTTGGTATTTTCTGAACTTAATTGTTAGGATTGGTTACGGACTGACAATGGTAATTATAAGTGTGTTCGATTATAATCCACAACTACTGTTTCTTTTCAAAAGTCATACTCATTGCATGCATAAGAGTGGTGAGTGATTGCATCTCGACCTCATAATGGAGAGAATCGATTAATTCTGCCATACAAACTTACATGTTGATCAACCTGAACGAACTTGTTTGCTCTTGCTAGTTTTTGTTGGAACTGCCTCTGGCAGTCATCAATTGATCCCATTTGTTTCAAATTTACCAATTCCCCCAACGGGTTGCTTTTGGCTGGCGGCTCAAATATCAGAGAATAATAGTTTTTGAATCTAGTCAAGTTGAGTGTAGATTGTTCAGATTCTAATTGGTGGTACCATAGTTGCACCTCTCCAAGCATATGGAAGGCAACCAATCCCATCTTATCCCATTGTAGCGTGTTGGTTGACAAAAAATTTCTTGCACCAATGCAACCATATTTGGGAATCTTCAAAGTCGTTGAACGTTGAAAAATCTAACTTAATGTAGCGAGGAACAACTCTATTATTTGGAGGGTTGTTTGCATTTCGCGACTGACTTTCTGTGTGAAGCGCTTGAGGTGGCTGTTCCCAAGGGTGGTTGCTGCTTGCAGTCATTTCTGATTCTGTTTGCCTATTACAATTAAAGTCGGCCAACATCTCTTTGAATTGTGAGGATAACTCTTGCAACTGGCTACTTAATTGTATATCAATCTCTGCGGTTCGTGCCTTGTTTGCGGTCAGGGTTTCTTGGAGCATCAATCGCAAATCTTCCTTTATCGCAGAGTTGTACTGTGTTAGGTTATGATACCAATTTGTTATGTTCCCAATATTAGAATTTTGTCACTGGGCGGTTATCTGGAATTTTGGTTACAGAATTTGCTTTTTCTCCGTACTGCGATTCTTTAAGCGATTTATTATGTGAAAATAGATTACAACTCATCAAAAGGAGTTGCTATCTTGGACCTTATTAGAGAGAGCTTCAATTTTGTAGTTTAAAATAATATTTTTATTTGTCTTTATTAATAGCAAGTATACCCTTTTATATAGAGGTTACAATTCTTATTTAACAATTTTAATCTAATTAAGAATATAAATCTAATTAGAAATATTTTACTTAAATATTGAAAATTTTGTACTATTTAGAAATCCAATATTAATAAAAAATTATATATTATTTAAGAATTTAATATTAAATAGAATTCCGTGTTTACTATTTAAGAATTCAATACTAACTAAAATTCTATGTTTAATTGAACTTCAACATCTTATTAGGTGTTATAAATGTGTCCATAATTTTGATACGTCACAAAAATTATGAATCTATCAATTCTGAAATATGACGGATTGACCCGCTGGTTAGACCAAGTCCACTTGCCCCTGGTTAATGGTAAATTCATGAGGTCAAGATGATTCACCGTATCCTTGAACTCATTAGCACAACTGCAGGAGAAGTGCTTCCCGTTCCTCTCATTAGGGTTCAACTTTTCTGGTGCTTATAAGCCATTCAAAAACTAATTTTGTTTAAGACTTTTAACAAAATATCCACTAGTTATAAGTTATCAAATGTATATGTCCTTTTAATTAAGTATTGTCAACTTTGGAACATATTTTTACCAAACACCCATATTTTTACGGAACACTCATTATTTATGTGGAGATTGTACGTTAAACAATATACACAAACCACATATTTTTCACTTTTTTAATAACTTTAAGTTTCATGAGCTTCTAAGCCTTCTTCATTTATAAACTTCTAAAAAGAGGTCAAACCAAACGATTTTGAAGTATTTTTTCGTCTTATTATTTTGCCTAAAGGAGATCAAGTTCTGCAAAGTTCTTAAATGTAGAGGTGTCAACGAGTTGTGATTTTAACCAAATTTGAACATGTGTCAATAGATGGCCTTTGAAGAAGATTTAATAGTATGTTATGTGAATTAAACAGATTAAAAGAAAAAGATTTTAATTTTAACAAATAAATTGCAATTTAACATAAATTACATAGAAAACATGTACTTCTCTGGCATCACCTTGTTGCACTTTTAATAATAGTTTTTTTCTAAAAAAAGAAACATATAAACCATAAGTTAAGTACCTTTCAAATTTTCAAAAGCCACAAAAATCAATTCAACACAATATATTAAGAATTTGAAAATAAACTCAAGTTCACAATCGAACACCAGAAAAAGGTTTGCAACTAAATTAGTGCCCTAAATTTGAATGGAAATTCTTCAAGTAATATCATATATTGTATTTAAATATGTTTAAATATGATGTATAGTAAAATAGTTTTATTGTGTAAAATACATCTCTAGTTCATTTAGTCTTTTATCCCATTTTGATTAACTGCGGTATTAAAAAATCATAGTTTGGTTTCTCAGTTTTCAGTGGACACCCCTATTTGAATTATCATATCCTATCAGCAGCATTGATCGTGGATGTCCAAATGCCACTTAAGATTTCATTGGATGGCATGTTTGATGACTGAAGTTGTGTTATTGAGGTTACTGGGAGGATTCAGCATCAACGAGAAGATGCCCTTAAACTAACACATGAGATATCATTTTAGATTAAAAGTGGGTTAACAAGATAGAAAGAAAATATATTTCTCTCTTAAATTGACTTTAATTTGGGAATAAAATAAGAAAGTCTGACATAAAGTGTAGTGAGTATGCCCGGTAAAATTATCATATACAATTGCTTTTATGACATGGCCTATTTAAACCATATTCGACCAGCTGCTTGTATTGAATTCATGAAATGTTCATTGCATGATTGGATTTTCATTCTTTGACTGAGTTGATTGATGGTTTTTCTTTGTCTAATTGTTTCGTAAATTTTATATTTCAGGAATTTAGAAGAATCAAAGGGAACATAAACTCAATGAGAGAACATGCAGAGCTTCTTAGTTCTGTCAGGGATGATATCAGTGAATATAAGGTGAGAATGGTTCAAACTCGAAAATATATTATAGCCCATTATTTAATTTGGAGAAATAAAGAAATAAAGGTACTCTTTACTTCATAAATTGAAGATTGAGAAAGTCGAGTTCATAGTTTTTGCCTACATGCAGGCATCTGGAAGTATGTCGCCAAGAATGCAGTTACTGCGGGAGAGAGCTGCCATCCATGGGAGCATATCTCATGTAAGTAATTTTTTAAGTGATGTGCTGACTATCTGCCTATTGTGGAATCAACTATCATCTTGCATATTTATATATTTGTGTATAATAAAATAAACTTGATAAACTAACAGAAAATGTTGAGATGGATATCTGGCTTCATCTACTGATACTAATGTAATTGGTAAAAGTGTATGAACTTCATCAGGTGGATGGGAGGTTGTATAAGATAATTTATGTGGAAAGATTAGAGAGTTCTAACATTAGATGACGCACACTGGTTGTGCTAAATTGGTAAGAACGAGTGCTGAAGGCTATGCACCAAAGAGTGAAGAAAATATGTAAGCAATTTAGTCCAAAACAATCTGCAAGTACATACCTTTTGTAGTGAACTTGCTTGAAAGTGATTTAGGTAATTCGATATGGCATTCCGTAAAGCACATGTTTGTTTGCTTACACTGAAGATCAGGTTGGATACTGCTTCAAACTCCCTAAAATTCTGCAAATGTGTTTGCTTGTTGACTTCGTAATGCAATGTAGATAATAAAAGCTTTAAATAGCCCAAATTCTATACGTGTTAGGGTGCAAAGTCAGAACAGTATTTGGTTTGCTTTATATGTTTTGTTCTCTTCTTTTGTAAGGCTAAAACGTTTTAGACATTAATGCACATGACAATGTTGGGTTCATTTTATTGTGTAGATAGATGATGTGATCAATCAAGCCCAAACTACCAGAGCAGTGTTGGGCTCTCAAAGGGCTCTGTTTGGCGATGTGCAAGGGAAAGTCACGCTTCTCAGCGACAGTTCCCTGTCCTTCGTGGCTTACTTGTATCCAATGAGCTAGTGGTTATATCACTGAATT